TTGGGAGGTTTGCTTTCTTGTCATTGAGATGTAAGAGCTCTCTATGTATTCTAGATATAAGTCCTTTGTTGATCTCCAACACAAAATGTCAATAGTCAAACTGTTGAGAAACACTGATCTAGTTAATTTTGCTGAAAAGAACCACATGACACTGCAAGGAGTCATGTATCTACATATGATTCACTCTACCTTTAAAAATAAAACAGGTAATTTTTAAAAAGCTGACATGAGAAACTTCTTAAAATCGTATGCTACAGAATCCGTTTACATTTAACTCCAGCAAGCACCTTACCTATTCATAATTATGACCATAAATCATCATAAAGGGAAAATTTGCTTAGACTATGATTTAGAATGCCTTCCAACTAAAAGAAAACTAACATTTTAATAAAATTTTGGTACAGCTGTCAGAGGTTTCCAAGTAGCTAAGCTTTCACTACACAATCACTCTAGAATCTTAAAAGTATAAAAGCCGTATTTCCTATGGCTTCCCCACTAGCCCCACCTAACTCTTCTCTTTTAATGATGGGCTCCAAACAGTTCAGGAGAAGGCAGCAGGCAGGCAATGTGAAAACACTTCTCCTCCTTATTCCTTCAGTCATCAGGTACCTTCCCCAACAGAAGAGTCCCTGAAGGCCTCCCTCAGAGCTTATTTATTCTTATCATGGTTGCCATTTTAACTAAGCACATTTATAGCATATCTCAAGGGAGTGGGATCAGGTGACTTTTACATCTTTCCAATCTGAGTTGGTTTTTCTACAGGAGCAGATAGTGTCACATTTCAAACACGTGATGCAGAACCGAGGAACCTGGATCATGGTCTCAAACCTAACGAGTTTGGGCAAATTAATTCATTCACTTGAGTCCTCAGTTTCCTCAGCTATAAAATGCAAGGGTGATTTCTAATATTTCTTCCAACATAAATATTCTACTAGTTTAATATATAAGCTGGATTCCTAACAGCTAAACACTGATTGGGTACCATGTGCCAAACCCTGAGCTGTATACTTACAATCTCATTCAATTCCTACTACAGCTCTATGAAGAAGTTACTACCATTATCCCTATTTTACAGATGAAGAAACTGAGGAGGTTCAGTGACTTGTCCATAGACACCTATAGTAGGCTGGGACACAGGCTCTGCTGCTGCCACCATGAGCATTTTGCATTCAGTAAACTGGCAGGAACAGGATACAGCTTTATTCCAGTCCAAAGACAGCTCTGAGGAATAATTACACAGAGAGTTTCAAAAACACACACAAACTCTAAAAAGCAAGTTTAGGAGCTTTATGAAGTTCTACGGTTCTTCAAACAACTTAATAACCCATGAGAGTACCTATTTTGCCACATTAGGTATGCTATACCTAATAAGAGGAATGCACTAAAGCTAAGACTCTTCTCAGAGGCTATCAGAGAGGCCGGATTTTTAACCTGATTCTAAAGTATCTCAGCTATGTGCCTTTAGGCATGTTCTTTAATACCTCTGAAGCTCATTTTCCTCACCTATTTATTTTTAAAACTATAAACTCTTCACCTTGCCTTAGGAAGTCCTACATGATATGGCCCTTTTCTAAATGGTAATCTTCCTGAATTTCTCTCTCACTGATGACGTCTGCAGACCAACCAGGCTAGTCTTCCCCAGTTCCTCAAATAATTTCTATTTCCTGCTCATGTCATTTCTGCAATTTGAAATGCTCTCACCCAAAACTCTGTTATTCTGAACTCTAGTCATCCTTTAAGACCAAGTTCAACTTCCACCTCCTCCATGAAGTCATCATCAGACTAAAAGTGATCATTCCTTCCTGCTAGTCATTTGGAGACATACTGTTTCTCTTCAGCTAGAGAATAAGTAACTTATAAGTAAGAACCATGTCTTCCATGTCTTTGCATCTTCAATGTGCCCAAAACAAGCAACCTGCACATAGATGCTAATTAAATGTATTTGTTCAATAATGCATGCATACTGTCATACCTACAGAAGCACCAGGAGCAACTACCATCAACCATTTTGCTATGGCAAATAAGAAACAAAAGGTATAAAATGTCATTTTGGTTTGTCTTGGGTATGATCCATCTGAGCTGGTAATACAGGGAAAACCAAACTCACTCACCAGTAAGGCAGAGAACTATGTAGACATTTGGTATTATCTCTACATAGTTAAGTAAAAATCAGTTTTATTATAGTAAAAAAAAAAAGTTCAATTAGCAAAAAATCACAATGTCACATAGTTAAGTCTATGACAAGGAGTTTTATTTTATTTTTTAAATTTTTTGTTTACTTGTTGAGACAGAATCTCATTTAGTCATCTAGGCTGAAGTGCAGTGGTAAGATCTCGGCTTGCTGCAACTTCTGCCACCTGGGTTCAAACAATTCTTGTGCCTCAGTCTCCTGAGTAGCTAAAGTTACAGGTACATGTCACCATGTCCTGCTAATTTTTATATTATTAGTGGAGACAGGCTTTCACCATGTTGGCCAGGTTGGTCTCAAACTCCTGATCTCAAGTGATCCACCTGCCTCAGCCTCCCAAAGTGTGGGGATTAGAGGTGTGAGCAACCATGCCCAGCCAATGTCAAAGAGTTTTACATTCTTGGAATAACTATTATCAGTACCCCCTTGTCAGAGAAAGATTAAACAGATAATTATGTACCTCAAACTTCAAGCCCAGAATAGTCATGTATTTATGATACATTACAAATAGCATAAATGGCTACAATACATGTTAAGTATAAGAGATACATATGAAAACATATTTTCCTCTAAGTTAGGACACTGTGATAAAAGCCAAATGATTTTTAAAAATAATTTACCTGTTTTTATCTATATCTAAGGATCCCCAAATATTAAGATGTCTAATAAATATTCATTTTTAAGCTCAAATCAGTTGTTATATGGCTGTGTATACAATGCCTTCTTGGTATCCCCAAATATTGTGGAGTTATTAAATAATCTCATCAAACATATGAGTGAAAAATGTATAGTTCATGCTTGGCTTTTTTCAACTGAGCAACAGCTGTATATAGTCAGATTCGTTGTCTTCCCAAAACAAAAATGAGTGTCAGATAATAACAGAGCTGTAAAAAGTCAGAATTGTACTTATATATAATATCACCCTCAAAGGTCAGGGACATGATGATGACGGTGATGGTTATCACAGGAATTAATAGCAGCGAACACTTTCATAGCACTTATCACACACCAAGCATGACTCTAAGATCTTTATAAATGTCAACTTATTTAAGCCTCAAAAGAATTCTAAGACATATGTCAGTATAATTCCATTTTACAGATGAGAAAACTGAGCCACAAATAAGTTAGATAACTTTGCAAGGTCATACAATTTATAAGTTACAAGATCAGGGTTGAAACTCAAGAAGTCTAGATCCAGAACTCAGAGAACATTAACCACATGCAACAGCCCTTTCCAATCTAACCCTTGAGATATGCAAATATCCTTCATCATCAGTTTTTCATACAGTTAAATGTTTTGAAATTCTACACAAAGCTATTTCCATTTTATCTTGTACCTACTTCTAGGAAAATGCCTTCAAAAAAAGTATTGCCTTAACAGGATGAGCTCTGTGGTGAGGCAAACTTGAATTAAACTCCTGGCTCTGCTGTGTGAATGACTGTGACTGGGAAATTACTTCAGATTACCTCATCTGGAAAATGGGGATAACACTACCAACTTAAAAGGTTATTGTGATGATCAGCACAGTGCCTTAGCACACAGTAAGTAATCTAGTAGGTTAGTTAACATTGTTACTGCTATTAGTACTAGCAATAGTTCTATTTGTTCTAAATTTACCTGTTTCAAATTGAAGAGTGTTGCTTCCAGTTGCAGAATACTAAATTTGATAGCTAGACTAGGCCAATACTAAAACGTATTAAAAATAAACAAGAGCTACAATAAACTCCAAAGAAAAGATTGTAGTGTCTGAAAATCACAATAATATATTTTGTTAGTAAAAAGTAAGCACAAAGGGCTGGGCATGGTGGCTCACACTTGTAATCTCAGTGCTTTGCGGGGCTGAGGCAGGAGGATGTCTTGAGGCCAGGAGTTTGAGACAAGCCTGGGCAGCATACACAGATCCTGTCTCTAACAAAAAAAAAAAAAAAAAAAAAAAACCATACACATACATATACACACACACACACACACACACACACACACACACACACACATATACATATATATATATTTTTTTTTATTAGCTGGGTGTGGTGGCATGTGCCTGTAGTTCCAGCTACTTGGGAGGTTGAGGTAGAAGGATCACTTGAGCCTTGAGGTCAAGGCTACAGTAAGCTAGGATAGTGCCACTAGTGCCACTGCATGGCAGCCTGGATGAGAGAACAAGTCCTTGTCTCAAAAAAAAAAAAAAATACATTAGTCAATATATACAACTATGGTAACTGTGGAAAACTCTTATGAAAATTTATTAATTCTTGCAGTTTCAAATATCAGAAGCTGAGAATTCTTCAAACCAAGAATGTGACTTGAAATTACCAACAACAGGCCACAAGAATTACATTTAATATTTGTGGATTTGGTCGGGTCCGGTGGCTCATACCTGTAATCCTAGCACTTTGGGAGGCTGAGTTGGGTGGATGATGAGGTTAGGAGTTCGAGACCAGCCTGACCAACATGGTCAAACCCTGTCTCTATTAAAAATATAAAAATTAGCCACGCATGGTGGTGCACACCTGTAATCCCAGCTACTCAGGAGACTGAAGCAGGAGAATAACTTGAACTCCGGAGGTGGAGATTGCAGTGAGCTGAGATCGCACCACTGCACTCCAGCCTGGGCAACAGAGGGAGACCCCATCTAAAAAAAAATTAAAATTTGTGGATTCTACATCTTGGGAAGATTGTTTTGATGAATAATTAGAGCAAGCAGTTTTCACAGAGGTAAGAAGAAAGTAAAACGGCAGAGAAAAATCACTCTGAAATCACAGATCTTCATATCTTGTACCTGAGAGAGGAATATCAGCAAATACTTACTTGTATCTGGAGTTTTCCTTTCAGCTCTGCCAAATAAAAATTCATATTTGGCCTTGGCAACACTCTGGGAATGTGTCGATGCATCATTCACCCAAACAAATGTCTCTGCCTACAAAATTAGAACAAAACAAAGACAAATGAAAGACACATTTAAAATATATCATAAAAATATATCATAAAACAAATTATCCAACATGAGAATAGTAAAGAAACTGACATATGTACTTGATGCTATCCTAACCATTCAAAATGAAACATGAAAATTATAACATGAAAATAATCAGAATACAAAACTATCACTGCATGATTACAACTATATAAAAAATGCACACATGAACATCTATAGGGAAGTCATAAGAAAATAAAAAGGATGGCTTTTGGGGAGGCTGATTTATAGCAGATTTTAAAAATATTAAGTTAATGTTACTTTTCTCAAATTAGAAAACTGTATTTTCTTTTTAAATACATCATTTTCCAAGTGATTATCATTACCCATAGTCCATAACAAGAATATTTCTTTGTGTGGGTTCTGTTAAAGAACATAAACAAAAAAAAAACATCTTTCCCCAAAGAGATCACATTTTTATATAATCGGGGACACCATCCAGCTGAACAGGGCATGGAACAGAACAGAATCCCATTTATACTAATTGTCCTACATTTCAATATCTGTCCAGGGTCCTTTGTAATTCCTAAAAGTCCCTTATTTGAAATAAAAACTACAAAGGTGATAGTGAAAGTGGTACATCCTAATTCTGAACTCCTAAGAGCTTCTTCCTCACTATGTTAGGCAATCGTCAAAAATCAGGAGTGCGTCTGTTCTCTGGCTGAGGACTAATTAAAAATGAGTAGCAAGGAAACAAACTTCAAGACACAAAGAAATTTGACCTAGCCCAGTCAGAAAGGCCTTCTTTTGCCTCTTTACTCTGAACCTAAACATTAACCAGGATACAGATATCACCCACACTGGATTCTACCCACTGGTTATGAGACGTCATCTTTTCTCATGTCTCAACAGTTACTGACCATTCACTTTGGGGGAGAGAAGCATGAAGGGTTTCATCAGCAACCAAGTAACTATTTCAAAGAGGTAACTTTTAGTATTTCTAGTCTATGCTTTGGAGCAGAAATGACTGACAGTGGTAAGACCCAATCACAACTCCATCACCCCACAAGAGATAGGTTCAGGGGGCAGGGCCCACTTTGTTCTTCAATAGCAAAGAGCTGTGTGTACAACATTCAGAGAGCAATTTCTTAAAAGAGTTCTATCATCACTTAATGTTCATAAAGCATCAAATGTAATGGTCTGAAAAAGATGCTACTCCTCTTGGTGCTGTGGCTGATAATCACAGGTTGTTAATTATCCTTTTCCCCAATAGAGAGGAAATATTAATTTTTTTGATGTGTTTGGGGAGCTTCGAGACAGTAAAAGAGGAACTCGCCCAAGGAGCTGCCATGTAAGGTGCCCTAATTTAGGCAGGGTGGTTAGGGAAAACTCTCTGAGAAACTAGTACCTGCAGAGATGAGAAATATGACAGACTGGGGAAGGTCAGCAACATATTGACAGGAAGGCATCCACATGGCCTTAAGATATGTAAGGAGGGATGAGCCTGCTCAGATAACAGAGAAGGTCAACGTGGCCACAGAAAAGCGGGTAAGTTTAGAGACTTGCAGGAAGAAGAGTGTAGGTCAAGGAAAGGACAAAGCATTTTGATTGGTTTGATGGAAAGCCACTGAAAGGCTTTATGGGCTACAGTAATGTATTTGCATTTTAAAAGATTATTCATTTACACTTTTAAAAGATCACATGGGTGTTATATGGAAGATGGATTGGAGTGAGACAAGAGGAAGCAGAGATACTAGCTAGAAATCCAAATGAGAATAGGGAAGCTTGGAGGAAACAGGCAAAAGTAGATGAATTAAAATATATTTTGTAGGAAGAATTACATAGTTTTCTGATAAAATGGATTAAAGAATGAGGGGAAGGGGCCGGACACAGTGGCTCATGTGAGGAGTATGAGACCAGCCAGGTGAAACCCCATCCCTACTAAAAAAATACAAAAATTAGCCAGGCATGGTGCCATGCACCTGTGATTCCATCTATTTAGGAGGATAAGACAGGATAACCACTTGAACCTGGGAGGAGAAGGTTGCAGTAAGCCAAAATGGCACCATTTCACTTCGGCCTGGGTGACAAGAGTGAAACTCCATCTCAAAAAAAAAAAAAAAAAAAAAAAAAAGAAAGAAAGAAAAAGAAAAAGAAAAAAAGGTGGGGGAAAGAGCAAGGACAATATAATAGATAACATTTGCTAACTACTTACTCTGTGCCAGGCACTGTTCTAATGTAATAAATGGAATGCCTCATTTAATGCTCAGAACAATTCGATGAGGAGGGGGCTACTGTCATCCCCATCTCATAGGCGGAAAAAAGGAGGTAGTAAGAGGCGAAATAATTTTTCCAAAGTTATATGGATCCCAGATTCATATCTGACTAGTCCAAATCTAGAACTTGTGGCACTGGGACTCACTCCCAGGAATCTGGTTTGAACAACCAGGTGCATATATTGAGACTGGGGAGACTAGAAAAGAAACAGTATCAAAAGCCTGCACTTGGGCTTCCAAGTGATCCCCCAAGGACTCACTAAAACATCAGAAAAGAAAATTTAAAAAAAGGAATCCATTACAAGGGTACTAGAAAACAAGAAAAGATGTCATCTATAAAGCAAATGTTTTAAGAAATTCCAGGAAGATAAATTTTTGGCTTACAGTCTCAACCTAAAGCCCGAGAACTATTCTCTAAACAAAGGTTTACCTGGAGCAAGGATTCTTAACCTCAGGTCCACAAGGAAGGAAGGTACGGTAGCCATCAAGAGAATTCTGGAGGCCGGGCGCGGTGGCTCAAGCCTGTAATCCCAGCACTTTGGGAGGCCGAGGCGGATGGATCACGAGGTTGAGAGATCGAGACCATCCTGGTCAACATGGTGAAACCCCGTCTCTACTAAAAATACAAAAAATTAGCTGGGCATGGTGGCACGTGCCTGTAATCTCAGCTACTCAGGAGGCTGAGGCAGGAGAATTGCCTGAACCCAGGAGGCGGAGGTTGCGGTGAGCCGAGATCGCGCCATTGCACTCCAGCCTGGGTAACAAGAGCGAAACTCCGTCTCAAAAAAAAAAAAAAAAGAGAGAATTCTGGAAGTCTGAAGCTGGGGGGGCAGTGATTTGCGTCTTTATTTGCATTTACCTTAAGATGAAATTTGGCATGTTTTCAAATACAAACGTAAGCAACAAACCAGAGTATTGATAGCAATAACTATAACTTGTCATCAATAGAAATTCATCATTTTCATATGTTACTGCAGATAACTTGAAATACTTATACTCATCCCTAGTTTGAAATGATAATAGTTACTAGACTCATCACTAAATCCTGTTATCAATAAAGAATGCTTGACTTTTTTTAGAGATAGGATCTAGATGTGTTGCTGCAACTGGACTCGAACTCTTGGGCTCAATCAATCCTCCTGCCTAAGCCTCCTAAGAAGCTAGGATACATGTATTACCATACCACGAATGTAATGTTTTGGTAGTTAATCAAATTGGTTTCTTTTGCAACTCTATGTATATTATTGTATGCATTTAAAATGCATTATTTTGACAAGAGATCTAGAATTTTATCAGACTATCCAGAGGGGCCTGCTCAAGACTATTGTTTCTCAAACTGTAGCTCATGACCCATTAGTGGTTTGAAAAGTCACTTTAGTGAATCACTACCACATTTTTATATAAGTAAGTTTATACACACATAATCTATTTAAAAGAATAAAACTAAAAATACCAGAGCAAAAAACACATTGTAAGATAAACGTTGTTTCATGGAACATCTAAACCACACATGCATGTGAGTGTGTGTACTGAGACATGATTAAAAGTGTATTTCTCAAGGTTGCTCATGACCTAAACTGTTTGAAACACATTACCCTAGGGTGGTTCTCAAAATTTATTATGAATTAGCATCACCTACAGCACCAATTAAAACATGTATTGTTGGGGTCCATCACAGAGTTTCTGATTCTGTAGGTCTGAGGAGGGGAGAGAGAATCTGCATTTTCTAACAATTTTTCAGGTGATGCTGATGTTGCTGGTCCAGGAACCATCTTTTCCGTGAACCACTGCTCTAGGCCACCGATTTTCATACTTTGTTGTATATATGAATCACCTGGAATTTTGTTAAAACATAAACTGAGCAGGTTAGGATGGGGCCTGGGACTCTGCATTCCTAAAATTTCCTAGGTGACCCTGATCCACAGACCAGCTTTGAGGAGCAAGTCTTGAAGATGCTAAAGCTTCAGAGTAAAGCGGTATTCAAAGTATGCTAGGATTATCACAAAGCAAAACATTTTTTTTAAAGGACTTTTCTACTTAGAAAAGGTAAAATTCACTAAAAGGCTCTGCTTAAAAAAATGCTCCATTAACATTCCCCACCTTGCTAAATAATATAAAATTCATTCTGCTTGCATTTGTGTGGAGGCTAAAGTAACTCTGTCTTAGAAGCTAATCTGCCATGTTGACTTCTGATTAACCCCGGTTCTGGGAATGTCCCCATATAACTACTGTTCCTTGTGTAAGAGCACATACTTACAGCAAATCCTAACCTTAGATCAAATTCCTACCTCTTCTCTCTAAAGCATGTGTGCCCCTTCCCTGTGGGATATCTGTGGGATATGATCCTTGGGTCTGGGACATAATGACATGGAGATCCACCTATCCTGCAGTTGCCCAAAACCCTGCTTCTGTCTGTAAGTCCCAGTAAAATCACCCTACAACAACAGCCTAGACATGTCTGCTTCCTGCTTTGGTTTCTCAGCCCCACCTGCATTGGCGGGTTACTCTTGCTAAACAACTAGTTATTCTTGAAGCTGTGAGCCCCTACCAATATATCCTCTTCCCATGGGAAAGCTTTAGTGATTTCTGCTAAAACAATCAGATTAATAAAAGACCCACATAATTCAGACTATTTTTTCCTTTGGCATTACTAAATAAAATATATTCTTGTGTTTCATCACAGTTGTTTTAGAAACATTAATCTCATTAAGAAGTATGGAAT